CTAGTTATCTCGCCTGCAAGTACCTGCACCTCTGTGTGTGTTTCCGGTTCTCAATATTTGACTTGTCCATGACTGTGTCTGTGCCTTGCCCTGTTTCATGCTCCTGGTTCCTGACACTGACCTGTTTTGCAGCTATGACAGCATGCTTTGCATGGGCTTGCTACTGAACCTTCCTTTTGAATGCTGGACTCTGTCTTGCCTCAAGCTCTTTTGCCCTGGTCCTGGTCCCTCTGTCTTGTCTCCTGTTGTCCACATTCTGGCACCTGGAAAATGCAAAGTATATGCTGTAGCACTGTGCTATAACTATGCATTAGAGCTGCAGAACCTCACTGATCTAGGGGGAGGCCCTCCCATTCCAGTGTTTTGGAGTTCCTTAAATGACCATACCCTGACTCCTATTGGACTTCAGCCCACTGGAATGACCCCCCGCCCCCAAACACACACACACACAAATCCTCTACAAAATTGAATTCAGCCTTCATGCTGTGGTTCTGCCCTGCTCTTGGAGACACATTTGTTTCAAGTTGACTGACATGAACATGTGCAAATCCTGAGCATGCTCCAAATGGCAAAATGTAAGTTAGGATTTTCTCCTTAGTGTCTAGAATGAACAGAAAGTCACAGGAAGGCAAAATGGATTCTTTTAACAGGAAACTAAAAAGAGCAGTACCCAATCACCAAGTCAACTGTAGAAAAATAAAGCACAGAGGCCTAAAGACAAAAGACCCCAAACTTCAGTTCCTTAAACAGCTGGTAACTTCCTGAAGCTAAGCTCTGTTGGATCTACAGGCACCTTATAAAATACTTGAATTTTTCCAGGCCTTTTACATTGCTCCAAAAAGTGGCAAAAAGGAGATACTGGGGCACCCTGATGCAGGTGAGCTTTATGATTTTTTTTTGAGGGGGGTACCTTCAATCATCCATTGCATGCTTATATAACATCCTATCAATCTCTCCACCACCACTCCTACAACATCTGTAATTTGAATAGCTCAGGGGAGTGAATATCTATTTAGCTTGTAAGACAGTAATGTTTTTTTCTGAATTATTGTAAGAATTTGAAATAAACCATAAAACCTTCTAAAAAGTTGTTTTAGGAACACATTTGTCAATAGCTATTGTTAACTACTGCTGTGGTTTAACTTTCAGATGATTCAGTTCATCCATTCTATTTAAGGGTACAGGCCAGGCCATCTTTAACCAAAAAACAAAACAACACAAAAAGCTTCCTGCAAGTAAAAGACAAATTCTTTGGATGGGATGCATTTCAAGCATTCAGGGAAAGTTCAGTGGGACTCAAGTAAGCATAATTGTCTACAGGAATGTTTATGAAGAACCATATTCAATAAACCCATTGATGACTGCTAGATTGGCTAATTTCTTTTAAGCCACAAACCCATGCACTTTTCCCTGAAAGTAAGTCTCACTGAACTCAACAGGACTTACTTCAAAGTAGACAAGTATAGGAATTCACGGTTAATTTTATTTTTTTAAAAATGGGCAAAGCATTCAGGGAAGTAGTTAGCCTAGCTAGCTGTCTTAATTATTCACTTCTGATTCAGGAAAAACAATAAAGGCCTTACTGTATGAAGATAAAAGAGTAGGAAGAGACAGAAAAAAGAAGCAACCCGTTTTTTATTGGAATACCTAAACTTTAACATGGACTTGCAATAACTGACTTTTAGTGCCACATAGCCAAACTGAGAGATCACAGCTTAATAAACCACAGCAGTGTGTTTTCTGAGCAAGTTTATACAGCATTCTTAGAGGCTTTTACAACCTGTCATGTCAAAGTGAATTAAAATGTACCTAAGCAGTTCTTAATAGAACCAACTGAAGTCATTTCTTGAAAGCAATTATGTTTTATTGTGTCAATCATCCAGGCAGTATTAATATACACAATAAAGGCTCTGGAGAAACATGTTATGGACTGTGCCTTCAACCTAGAGTGGCCATAACATGATAGATGGTTTGAACAATTAAGGGTCATAGTCCAATTAATCTACACATTTTACAGACCTCAAACTTCGTTGGTCTCAAGCAATAATTGATGACAGGAAATGCTTTTCCTGACAGATAATACTCAGCTGGACTCACTAAAGGTCCTTAAATCCAGCTGGCCATTAATTCCTGGGAAAGATCCAACCTGGCACACATAACTTTTTATAATAGAAATATTATTTGGGTATATAACTGTTTACTATAAGAATATGAACGAAACATAACTAAGAACTATTGAGACTTTTGGTGAAAACTAGTTCACGTACAACAATATAACAAGAATTGCATAGGCAGTGCATTTTATATGCTGGTTTATGTGTCTTCTATGAAGAAGGCTGAAGAGTATCTTTAGGATAACTGTTTACAGGCACAGGCATTTATGTGTGCTTAGATCAAAAAAAAAAAAGGTTCTACAGTTTTCAGCATGATCCAACTTGTCATTTTTTCTGTCTAAACATGTTAAAGATTGTACCCTAAAAGTATTTGAAATATTGTCACAGAAACAAAGCAAATTTGTTCTCTGTTGCTCCAGTGAACAGGGTAGAAACCAACAGATTCAAATTACAAGGCAGATTTCAGTTAAACATTAGGAAGAACTTCTTGATGGTACAAATTGCTCAACAGTAAAATTGAGTATGTCGGAAGGTGGTTCCTTTTCAACAGTATCATACAAATTTATTTTGACACAGGCAGAATTTAAACAAAAGCATTTAAAAGGGTTTGACAGTCAGAAATTACAACTAATTAACATATCCAATTCTACCAAACTCAAAGTACAGGAACACCCACAAATTTTCATTATCAGATGAAGCCATAAGCTAATCTGCAGAGAAGTATAATTTCTCTCTAAAATTTTATTTTTCAATTTTTTAATATCCCAGGGGCTAATAATTAATAGTAAAGGTGTAAGAAATAAACAGGTCCAGGACTATGGTATTTATTATATCTATTAACCACATTAGCTATGATAATAAAAAGGATGTGGATCAGTCCTTCCATACCATAGCACCAAACCCATGAAACCTATACACCTGAAACTTGGCATGCATACTAAAGACTACACCCCTCGGTCTTCTTTCTATTTAAACTGCCTTAATTTTGATTAATTTTAATAAGTTTAAAGTCTATAACTCTATCCTTAGCTAGCAGATGGCAAATGTCCTTAACCAGCAAATGAAACCACTTGAATCCAAGAGATATTAGTAGGCCAAGAGATAGAGGTATATGGCTTGTCCTCCCGACAATGGGGGCAAGCTTCCTCCGGGGAAAAAGGAGTAAACAAGCAAACCTGCCCTCAGGTGGCTAGACAGGCATACCAATTCTGGGGCTGCCTCTATGGGTGCCAGCGAACATAGTTTCACTCAGACAGGGTTGGTACAATATGTACAACCCTAAAAGTTGTGCAAATTTACTTGAGGGGTACTACATTATACTAAGGATGATGCAAATTACTAAAAGTGATGGAACAAAGTAAACCACTGGTCAAGTTTCCAGTGTCTAGGTTTCATCCTGTTGGTGCTATGGTACTGACCAACATACATCCTCTTTTAGTTTTATAGGTAATACACCTGTAAGGTATAATAAATATAATACCATGGCCCTCGGTCTGAATATTTCTTATATTCTTATAATTAATTACTATTCACTGAGGTATTAAAAATTGAAAAAATAAAAGTTTAAGGAAAAATTATACTTACCTGCAAATTAGCATAGAGAGAACAGTATGAAGTGCAAAGTTATGGGTGTTCCTTTGATTAAATATATTAATCAGCTATTTCTGAGTGGAAACACTTCAAATGTTGCTATTTTGCCACATCTAGTGCTCTTTCCCCCTATTTTTCCTACTCTAAAGGGGTTTTACACTGAAGATGATAGCCACATGTCAATGTTGCTGTAGCAGTGGGTCAGCAAGGGGCTAGACTAGATGACCTTGATGCACCCTCTATGATTCTGTAGTTCTGCTCTATAATGCTAACTGGTGTCCAAGGTCTTTCCAGTCGTAGTACCTATTTTAACAGAAGGATGCAGGGATCCAGCACTATGTTCCTTCAGGTGCTTTCTAAATGTCTTTGGAGGATTGATTCGGCATTCTTGACTTCACTTGGCTTATAACTATGTCACTTTGCTTTGGTTCTTGCTTTGTCTTGCTGGTGTGTGAAAGCAATTTAACAAATGTATATAGCATTTTCATCAGAAAGGGAGTTATTTTTCTATTTTGGGTTTTTCTTGGATGGACAAAAGGAGGGTCTACATGATTTAATTAAATACACACTAATGATTAATCATGTAAAATATGCTTTCTAGCCTTGTGCCTTTTTTCAAGTGGTCATGTCAGTTATGTCATTGTTTTAAAGACCAAGGAATCATCCTGTGGCTCTTTATCTTAAAAAATTACTGTGAAAAAATATGGGCTAGCATCTCTGGTCAGAATTTTCTATTATTATAAGACACTACAGTGTGGCTTATTGTTTTCTTGTGAGGAAATTGTGAACTACTTATCCAAAAGTCAATGCAGAAAAAGGAAATTGTGCCCTTTGCACCCAAGCCAATGTGGCATTACCTTTTTCATATTGTCAAGTTCAGTTAGTTGGTCTAATGGGGTTATAAGAGAAAGGGAGGTGGGGAAGAATAACAGTGTGGCAACTTTTGTTCTGTCCCATTACTACTAACACTCCCCCCCCCCATACTAGGTTGCTTCTCTAAGCATTTCCTAACAGCACATCACCCCGGCTACAGATAAAATGGCTTGAGCTTATCCAGGCAAAGAACATTAAAAGTCCAAAAGAAAAAAGAAAAAAAATCCAAACCCCAACTCCAAACTGCTCATGTGACATGAGAAAGCATTCAGCAGACTTGACAATGAGCAGGCAGGGAGGTGCGTCTGATCAGAAGGAATTGGGCGATTGATCTCCAGCGCCTTTTCTCCTTGAGATCTGAAGCAGGCTGGTACATATAAAAAGAACAGAATAGGCTGCACAGAAAAAGCCATACACATATCATAAAACAAAATTTATCTTTAATCTGTAAGTGTCAACAGCAGTACAAAAGATGGAGTGATGGTGAATAGATTAAGGGTAGAGAGGACAGTCTTGAGGTAAATGAGCATAAATAGGCAGTCTTATAGACACTCCCCTGAGGGGTCAGAACCCCTTATCATGGCATAAATGGTATCACCCAATGATGACATGTTTAACATATCAGGAAAGCACCTTGTGCAACCAAAAAAAAAGAGGAAAAGGGAAAAAAAAGAAAAGGAAAAGGAAAAAATCCCCTCAAATACGTAGGTAAGGTGCCAACATACACCAGAATATACGTTATCATGACAGTGTCTTTCAGTTTTGTCTTTTCCATTAATTTTTGAGGCAGAGGAGAGGAGAAGACTCTTAAAAGTACCACTGAAAAATTATTTAATATTTAATTTACCTCACGTCAATACTGCACAACAAAATTCAAGAAGTCTGTTTATGCTATGAAGCAAAGCTAAGAATGATTCTTTTTTCCCCTTAAATTAAGAGCACAGATACTTTTTCTTTAAAAAAAATCAACATCCTTAGCAAACTTTTTTCTTTTCTTTTCAAACTGCTTCAAGAGGAGAGTGTGAGAGAGATGTGATGGCAACCTTTTAAGTTCATTTAAAAACTTTACACTGGACTGTACAAGATTTTTTTTGATAAACTATTTACATTTTCAGACTTTAAAACATATTCAAAGCAGCAATAGACACTAGGGTTTTTTTTTCCTCTATATGCCCAAATAATTACCAGCCCTGGGCCCAGGTAGGTACCTGCACTGTATATAGAATTTCTACAAAGAAAACCAGCCAGTTAAAAAATTGACTTGTGGGTGTCGAAACAGCAGCCCCGGCGTCATCCGAGCCACACCCACCCTGTTGCCATAGGAACCAAAGCATAGTACCTTGAGGGGGGCCTCTCAATTGTCCCCCAACAGCTCTACACAAAAACTTTACACTTTGAAACAGCAGCGAGCATGTCAGTCCAGCATGTCAGTGAATTGTGCTGATTAAATTAACATAGAATACAATCTCACAATATACATCACAAACAAATTACAATGTCAGGAAAGAAAAGAGTTACAGTAAGTAACAGCTTATAAGCTTGTCTTGATGTAATAATAATTAAAAAAAACATTTGTACATGGCAAATACAATAATGAACAGAAAAACTAAAAACATTCTATCATTTGCTACAGGCTGATGAAGGGTACAAGGGAAAAAAAACCCTGTGCTTTTGAGAAAGCAAAACACAAATGACAAAGGAAGACGAACGGAGAATGCACATTAGCAGGTCTGCAATGTGCAGCATACAAACAGTTAAATATTTGCACATTCCCCAAACTTTTGAGAGCACCAAGGACCTCACTTGTGGTTTTTGAAGAAAGCAGAAATTATAAAGCAAACTGTGTCACTAAGCTGCTTTATAGCTTTCATATTGCCATAAATACCAATTGGATACATTTTCCTTTCACACATATACACCCCAGGCCCACCCCTCCTCTTTGTACACATTAAGTGAACTCTCTCATAATACTTTTTAAACAGATTTTAAAAATTAATCTTGGACTTTTTGTTGTTTAAGGGGGGAATATGGAATCCAATGATACAAATCTGGCTCTTCAAAAAAAAAACCCTTCTGAAAATTATTTTTGCATTCTAGTATGGGATCACAGTATTACAGTATATCAAACATTATCTGAGGAAAAACTGCAGAGAACAATGGTTGGTAAAAGGAAAAAAGCAATGCTGGAGGAGTGGAGACAGAGAGGAAAGTAAATTGAGTTTGAGTAAAAGAACAAGTGCCTTTATAAAAATAATAAATCAAATGAGGTCACATGTTAGTCTTTAAACAGGGCATGCTTAAGTGCCAACTTCAGTCATTAAACACACATGCAAACATCTAGGATCTGAGACTATTTTTTTTTAAACTGAACGTATGAAATACTCTATTATACATTCTACCAGCTGCATTTCTAGAGCAGTTGTTGGCACTGACAATCCCATCCAGATATACATATAAAATTCTGCTCAACTTTAAACATATTCCTAAATGGTTTGGACTTCAATTGAATGGCTCGGTTGCTCAAAGTTAAACGGGTGCTTGAGGCTGTGATCTTCAGACCACACACTCCGGACGAGTACCACAGGCCACCATTTGGACTATTCCAGAATGTGCAGTTTGAGGATTCAGCTAAGTGCTTTCCTGGACTGAAGCATTGTGGTATTTTTTACTGGGACAATATTTGCAGTAAAGTAGAAAGAAAAGTTAAGACAAAAAGCAATGGTACATACAGTATGATATCATACTTGAACTTTGTATTAGGGGATACTTGCATATACACAATCATTGTTTCATTTACACAATCATTAGCAATCATTGTTTTCAAGTTACTGCTATACTTTTTCACAGGGTTTTGTAATTAGTTTAAATAACACGCACACGCACACACACACGCCCAATGAACACCATATAGTATTGGAATTGTTTCAATGTAATCCTATCTTTCTCTTACACTGCCTCTTGATGGCTGTGAGCGCACTAATTTGGGATCAGCTGGTGATCCTACAGCTTTCCCCAAACTACATGTTGGGGTACCAGCATACATTTAGGGAAGTGTTGGAGGGGGCTGCAGCTCAGTGGCAAAGCAGAAGTGCTGCATGCACTCCCAGCTTCAAAGACTAGCATTTCTGCCTTTAAAGCTGGCAGTTAGCAGAGGAAGGGAAAGACTTCTGCCCGCACTCTCCATGCCCATTTTACTGAGGAGACTAGCAGAGTTTGAGGCTACTATTTATCTTCTTAGAGATGGGCTACTTCTTCCCTTTATAGATGTAAACCCTGTGAAATTGTGTTCAACTTTCATTAAGACTTTATGTTGCATTTGTAAAGTATCAAATAAAACAAATTATTTTGTTGTTGTGAATGTTTTACTGGATTTTTATTCCTAACTGGTAACAAAGCACTTCAGAAATATTCTCTTGAAATTAAAGACTTTACTAGATTTTGCTATGGAAATGGGATATTTTTTTAAAATAAAACTATTGTTCAAAGTCCAGAGTCTGTTACTACATATATGCACAGCATTAATCTTTAAATCAGCATTATTTGGGGGCACATGGAAATTATAACAGGTGCCACTGCCTATTCTAGTGCACAATTATATAAGCCACCTTAATTTACTATTAGTTTCACTTCTCTCTCTCTCTCTCTCTCTCTCTCTCTCTCTCTCTCTCTCTCTCTGGAACTAGCAATACTGTTCCATTCCAGACACAGATCTAGCCAGTTCAATGTTACTTTTAATAGCTGGTATCATTACAAAAGCCTGGTTAATGACAACCTCCTAGAGCATCCTAATTTATTAATGTACTTACTTGTCATTCATACTGACACATTATGATATTCACATTGGTTCCTTTTAAACAAGAACTAAGAACTTTCATCTGTTCTGTTCAGAAGCATACTGCAGATTATGAAGTAAATTGATTAAAAACTTAACTAGAAATCTGGCAGTTGTGCACCTCACTTTTAAAGCAGTTGCTTTTTAAAGCAATCCTAATTCAGAGAAAGAGAGGAAGTTATTTGGGGATATACTTCAAAGGTAGGAATAATTCATGGATTGATTCCCTATTTAATTTGCCTCCAAGGAATTAGCTGGAACTACTTCAGCAAGTGTCAGAGAATTAGCTGTTGTATCCGTCTGCAACAGCAATGGCTCTGATCAAGAAAAAGTTAGTTTTATTGAAATCAGTGGGACTTAAATGTGTGAATTTGTTTCAAGTTCAATCTGATCACCTTTCCCTACATGAGAGTCAGTCTACCCAAGGGCACACCACCCTTGGTGGCACACCACATCCTATGCACTTACATGCTGATGCAGTACTTATTAAGATCAGACTGTCAGGTTTCATCTCTCTGACTAAGGTTTCAGCCCAAATAACTATGACACCACCATCAGAGAATAAAGAGGATGAGGATTGTTATTTTATAATCAGGTGTGCTATTTTGAAATATTGTGTTTATGAAATGTGAGATTCAGATATGAAGGAGAGCGTAAGTGAGGCATGTTGCTATCCTTGCTACAGGTTCACAATATTGCTCTCACACTGCAGGTGTAAATTCAGCATCTACATGAGGTACAGTGATTTGTCAGCATTTAATATGGACCAATGTACACTGATACAGAACAAAAGTAAATACATAACTTATACTTCACTAAGTATCCATGAACAAAAAATAAATTCTATTTCCTATGTTATATTTACACATTTTTTAAAAAATCTAAAATGAGATGGTGACTAATCAAAAACCTTGTTTTGAGCTCCAATTAAGAATGCAAAAAATAAATGGTTCTTGCTTCCAAACGATTGTCCTTCCTTGATTTCTACTGACACTTTAGAGCCAGTATCGGCTAATAAATACAATAAACTGCTTCTGAACTTTTCAGATTCAAATACATTTTTACCCAACCTGACCAATAAAGTAGCATTCTACCATCTACTGATTCATGAAGAGCCAATCAGTGTCAAGAATGCAGCTTTAACTTACAGAGCATCAACAGAGATGCAGGGCTGGAGCTAAAACAAAGTATTAATATATATACGAATCTTGCATAAATAAATGAAATAACAAGACATAAAAATGACTCAAATCCGGCAACTGTGAGGCAGGCCCACACGAGTCGAAACAGATGACTTTTGTTCATGTCGTTTTTGTACAACAGTTTCACATTAGTTAGAAGTGATAAAAAATACCATTTATATCCAGTGCTTATAACACTTACGAAACATCTGTGAGTGTGTGTTTTTGTACTATGAGCAAAATCAAGTTTCAGTCCTAAAGAACAGTCCTTTGTTCTCCGCCAGCCTGCAGAATATTATTTTGGCATGGTCATAAAATTTATAAAAAGAAAGTAACCCACTAAGCTAAATGTTTGCCTTTGTGCAAAAATAATTACATAAAATACAATGCTAGCAATACAGCATTCTACCTATGCAACAAAAAACTATGAAAAAACAGAGAGAAGAGAAATGAGTTGTAGGATGGAGAGAGATTTATAACAGGAAAAACTTGTAGGAAGTTAATAAATAGTTATTATTTAGGAAAGAATGGGTACCTCCCCTCCAAGCTACATGTATTAGATCAGTTCAAATTCCTAAGCAATCTTAAGAAAGAATTTTCTTTCAGTACCTTAATTAGATAAAGAGGGCGCTCACCAGCTAATGACAACAAGTGCCTATAACATCTTGGCTAGACCAGTTTTATTGCTTTAGCTGTAGACAAGAGAACAGTATTCAAATAATATTCATTTTATTCCGGATTAGCAAATGGCTGCCACAGCTTGATGAGAGTGTTGATATGTCAGAATAATATTTTCTCTTGTAAACTCAACAGTCCCCATTTACTTGTGTTGGTTGAATTGTCTATTTTAACATTGCAAAATCTTTCTCTGCTTCCAGCAATTGTTGCTGTAAACTGTCAGGGCATTTTTCTGTAAGGTCGTATGATAACAACATAACAACATTCTGCATTGACATTGTGCCTATTTTACTAATTAGGAGCACAGTCTAAATGCTGCTGAAGTCAAGGGGTGTGTGTGTGATTTGTGTTATAATCTAGAGATAAAATGTCTTGTAGACAAGCCAGAATCCCACATTGGTGGCTGTCAAAGTGGAAGGAGAGCCATCTGCTGTTGTCAGGAGTGGAAATTCTATGCGTGTACAAGGAAGTGGGCTTCAACCCACGATTTATATAGGAATTGGACTTATTTGGACTTTAAATTTTTTTTCCAGTGAGAGATGAGTATACAATTTCTGCCTTAGGAATGGGGTCGTTATATAAAGTAGAGCCCTTAGCATAATGCAAATTCACACAGTAAGCATCAGCTATTTGACATTGTATTTGCAATGGAAGCTGCTCTGGATCAGTGTTGGATAGGTTTGTCTCTGCCAAGTTAAAATTTTAATATTGACAGTCTTTACTGATGTGGAGAAAACTACATACAGCTAGTTCAATCAATGCCTGGAGTAGCCACCACAGAAATGTAAAATGGCTCCCACTATATTTAGCAATTGTGAAACTGGTCTTAATTGAGAAGACACAGACATTTTACACCTATGAAATTGCCACCTGGCTGGGGTATATCCATTCTGATTCTTGATAATCAAGATTGAATAAAGAAAACAAAGGTTTTTCCAGCATTCTCTTCCTTGAACGAAGCACTTTAAAATAACCCAAACCACAGTTTATTAATAGTAGTGTCCCAAATCCTAAACAAATACTTATGCATTTTCTTTAGACTGTACCAATATTACTACACCTCAAACCTTGACACTAGCTTTGAATTAGATTTTCATGCTGCATAAAATGGATCAAATTCAAATTTCTGAGACAAACAGCTACCAAACCTTGATTAGAACATTTGATTTTTATATTAGGAGCTAGATTATTAACTTGGGAATGTTCTATTTTACCCCTCCCCTGCTCCAAACTCCTTAGAAGTTAGTTTTACATGCAACGTAATTGTATATTAGCAATGAAATATATGAGGGTTTAAAATTTTGCAGCAACTTTGATCTAAAAGCCCTAAAGCACTTTACAAATTTAATTTCATATTATGCTTCGAATATTATGCTGTATACCTGTTTTGTTTTATTTTTCCTTTTATAGGGCAAATAATGTAAAGCTTTAGCAAATATTCCTCTATGCTAAGCACATCTTTGTGCAACTGAAACCTAAAAGAGTACAGTGAAAACATGTCATTTAAGGACAAATAATGGGGCCATTTTATTTCTCTGAAATTAACATTTGATGCAATTTATATGAAATACTTCAGTTTGGTGTGGCTTTAAAAAAACATAGATATGATCATATACTGACAACAAAAAATGTGTCCTTCAGGTTGACTATGGGAATGGCAGTATGTGGAATCCTAAAATTTTACAGCTCCAAAAACCCATGAGAAAGACTTGGTGTAATTTCTAACTACTGCTGTCATCTGTACACTATACAGCAGTCAAAAAATCTGTACCGATATTACTAAACCTCAACATACTTTAGAGCAGGAAGTCCTAATCTAGGATGCCCAAAAGTTGTTGCACCATTGTCTCTAACCATGCTGGTTAGGTGTGATAGGAACTGTAGCCCAACAAACCTCTGGGGACCTGGAGTTAGGAGCCATTGTTTTAAAACTATTCCAAACAAACTCAGAAGCCTATGGTAGCCCAGATAGATTTTTCCTTTGAAGCCACCATGACTAACTTTACATGTTAGTCATGTAACAGAAAGAACTTTCCCTCTGTTTTGCAATTCTTTTGCTGTACAGGCAGGTTATAGCTAAAGAAACTTTGGCAAGTGCCGTGGCTCAGTGGTTTGCATGCTGAAGGTCCCAGGTTCAATGCCTTGCATCTTCAGGCAGGGCTAGCAATAAATCCTGCTGGGTACCCTGCCTGTACCATAAGAGCCACTGTCTGCTTATGACGACAGGACCAGGCCAGGTGGGCTAACAGCCTGACTCAGGATCATGCAGCTTGTAAAATTTAAATCCAAAGTAGCCTTGGTTTTATGAAGCAAGCTGGATTACCATTTGAGTCCTGGCTTAAGTATTAAAGTGGACATAAAAGACAGATATAAGTGTCCGTGTCCTTTTTCCTGTGTATCTTAGAATTTCCCCAAGTGTTTTTGACACAGATAAATATAATTTCCTATATATGTATATAATCCTTTTCCAATATTGGAGTGCCTTTCTATTTTCTAGATACCCACTGGCTTTTAGTGAAATTACTCTTTATAGACAAGTCAATAGTAAACTGAAAATAAAATGCCACCATAGCAGCACTTTTGAGTGAGTGTGTGTGTGTGTGTGTGTGTGTGTGTGTAGTATGTATGTGGACCCCTGACATTCTGGAATGAATAGATTGTTTAAGAGAAAATGTACTTAGGACTGAATGTAAGGGTTAAAAGAAAAGAGATACAGAACAGATTTGAAGGTGGCCTTACATTCTTAAGACAGGCCTGTCTGTAGCTGGTGATCGCTCATTTGTGCTTACTTAGTATTTTATACTGATGGTACATCAAGAGGCAGAAGCAACTGGACAAGTGCATTGTGGCAATCATGTTCACTATTTTAAGAACAACCTATCTCCAGATTCCTGAGTACTTCACCATTTTCTGGAAAAATTAGGATTTTTTTAAGATATATAGTTTTAAGATGCCAAAAGATTGTCTAAGACTTTACAGTGTCTCCCTTAAGACTTTTTAAATGTTAAGATTCAAAAGTTATGAAAGTTTGGCACATCAGAAATCAGCTTGGAAAAAAATGGAATTTAGAGACCTTGTTTAAAAAAGATGAGTTAAGACACACAGATGCACAAACTTGAGGACTTGTTCTGTTTTGTGACAGGAAATTTACGGTTATTTTTTGTTTTGTTTTTGTTTTCTAAAATAATTCAGAATAAAAACACATTCACAACCTGTAGGCTGGCACAGCATACCTGAGTGAGAATGTAAAACCCCCATTTAAAACAGTAACTTAAACCTTTTTATCAGCATCCAGGAAGAGAAAAAATAGACAAAAACAGGTAAGACTTGTAAGAGAGCTATTGATTCATATAAGTTTTCAAGTCCCAATGTCTGATACTTAATGTCTTCACCTAAATTAAAAAAAATGTTCATGAAAATTAGGGAACAATCTGTGTCACACATTAAGAAACATTTAAGACCATTCTGCAGATGTAACTGTAGGAGCCACACATGCATGCAGGCTCATTTAAGAACTTTTTGTTCAAAACAAAACAAAAACAAAAAAGTCAGAGTACTTTTAATTCAGCAAATATCCTCAGTTGGCAGTGACAGCCTCATGGGCTTCATTCTCACTGCTATAGTCTGATTTGGGGTCATCTTCAAAGTCCTCATACATTTCCATCTCATCCTCCCCATTTATCATGTCATTTCCAGCAAGGCTCCCGCTGTCCGTCTTCATGCCATAAGTGCTCTGAATGACAGGGATGCTGGGCTCAGGGCTAGCAGAGGTGCTGGAGCAATCAGATGTCATCTGCGGAGATGGTGTAGTAGTTGCCATCGTAATAGCACCCGGATAGACCACGCCCGTTCCTGTGGTGATTGGAATCTGAGGCTGTTGCCTACAAGGAGACACAAGAGGCACACAAATCTATTAAGATTTCCTTGAGTTCTCATTAGAAAGTGCATTTCTCATTTTCATGGAAGGTACAGTCATATTCTTGGGTGCTTCAGATTCTCATATCCCGACCCCAAAATACTAGGTAGAACTGAACTGTAAAGACTGCATTGCAATATGCTTCCTTGTGCATACGGAGGATTTATTTTATTCATATTATTTCAGCCCTGACACTTCTTCCCCAAATGTTCAAGGTGGCTAACAAAAACAGACAAAATTAATAATGCTAATTAAAGTAAATTACCTTAGCCTGAAGTGTAAAAACAGCATAAAATGAAAACTCAAAAAGCCAAAAGCAAATGCAAGACTATCGCACAACACAAATTAATCTGAAGAAACCTGTTGAAAAAATTCTCTACATTTAGATGTAGAGAAAAGACAAAGAGGTCTTTAATGCAAGCTCTTGGAGCAGGAAGTTATTGTCACTTTGCAGGTTTGTGGCTCAGAAAAACACATTTCATACAATGCTACCAAGTGTGCCTCAGTAGGCAGTGTCATGCTAACAACATGCTAACAACAACATGAGCAATAAGACAGTCCTTCACAAGAGGAATAAAAGGTGGGATCTAAATGCAATGTAATAAGTATAAGTAGAATAGAGACAGTAATGAGGTAGTTACTTAAACTTCCCTATGCAACCTGGAATCTAGGGGAAATCATTTCAGAAATTGTTTCCAGTAAACTGATTTTATTCAGGGATCAGCTCTGTGTGCAAATCAGACAAACACAAGTAGGCTCCGAGAAACTGGTCAAGTTTGAAAGCAAGATGAATGGAATCAAAGATCAGGCAATTCTAGAGGAAAACCTGTTTCACTCTGCAAAAGGCCTGGGACTTTCCAGCCTGACAATGACTCCAAACACATGGCCAAAGTAACATTGGAAGGGTCAGAGAAAAGATAATGAATCTCAGAATGGCTCAGTCAAAAGCCAGACCTCAATCCAAATGAAAATGTGTGGCAAGATGGGAAAGCTGGTGTTCACCAATTGTTCCCCTAACAGTTTTGACAGGAAGGAGGGGATGGTATTACAGGATCTACATGCACAAAGCTGATATAGGCTTACTTAAAAGCTGTAATTGCTGCCAAAGGTGCTGCAAACAAATACTGATGGGGGTGGTGGAGTTTTGACAGGTTTTTTTTTTTTTGCTTACTTAACTTTTGTGCCACAAAACAAATACTTTGCACCTTCATAGCCTTGAGTATCTTGTGTACCTCAAATTAAAGGTACACATTAAATTAAATCCATTTCAATTCCAGGTTGTGACAAAACAAAATGTAGAAAAGTTAATGAGGGCAGCATCATGGTGCCTTGAGATATTAAAGTGTTTAACAGTTTCTAGATCAGGCTTTTTTTAGGTCCATTTCACATCCATTTGTCTGCCTGCATTACAACTGACCTGTTTGTCCTGTGCAAATAGCAGAAGCATTGTTGGCAGGTGCTGGTATATATCACACTGAAGGATACACAAAATAGTTCTGTAGTACAGTACAACTACACAGTGTTTCAGGTTTTGGTTGGCTGGGTGCTACATAACTATGATAGGAAAAATCTACAGAGCTGTCTTTTTCCAAAACCACTTAAACATTTAAATTGGCAAATGTCATTGTCCGCTGTTCCCTTCAGATCCATTTTTCTTGACAACTCTCTAAATTACTGAGTCTAACTCAACTGCATTAAGGAAAATTTCTTACATGCTATGTCCTTTGAAACTGAATGACATAACATCAGATCTCATAAAAGCACCCATTGTATACATTTCAGCCTAGCCACAGCAGTGTGGTTTTATTGACTTATTCAAAACAGTAGTCTAGAAACACTGAGAATATCTGTGTATGTACAGTACCTATAAATACTTTTCCACAGCATCTTTTGAGACACAAATAATGTTCCCATTATTTTTAGATGAAAAGATGTAATGCATACTTGACCAGAATTTACTAGACCAAGATGGGGTTGGGATGGAATATTTTTGTAAGGCAAGGTAACAAAGAAAGTATTTTCAATTCAGATGCCAGTTTGAGCTGTTTCCTCATGCATAGTTGTGGCATCAGGACTTGGCAAATGCAACACTTCGGATACATTTCTACTTATGTAAATGTTTTTTGAGGAGTTGATTTTATTAAGAATGTTAAAAGATAAATCTGTATTAGAATTATAACATGATAAACACATCAGTTTAGAAGTCCCAGGTTTTTAAGTGATAAGAAATAATAAAATAGGAATTAGCTTTTAAAAAAAAAAAAAAAAAAGTTAAGTCACAAGAGCCCCCTAATTACAAAGGAGCAGGACTAATACCTGAATCCTCTCTCCAAGTCACGGGGCTCCCTTGGCCACCCCCAAATTCCTTGCACTGGGCATGAGCATCTGTAGGAAAGTACCTTTGTGCATAGCCTTTTCTGTGATCTGTACTCAGATCACATAGGAGTTCTAAGCCCTCTGCAGACTAGAGACCTAATGTGTGTATTCACCTACACACAAGTCCTATAGATCCTAAATGCAAGGGTTTTCACCCTCCCTAAAATTTCAAAGGGAAGGTTCATATGACATGATTTAAGTAAGTGTGAGGTAGCTGCTCACTCCAGACCAGCACGGCCCATGCTGATCTACAATTAACTGAGGAAACACTTCCTCATTTGTGCATTCAGTTTATGCAGGAAAGAGCTCTATACACATACACCGGTATGTGGGCAGAATCTTTCCCTAGCTGAACATAAAGATAATGGAGTAATGTTTCTGCCACAGGTTTTAATGGTGTGGGCATGGCTACAGAATGTATTATGTAAGAGGAAGGGCTAGTGTCATGGCCACATATTCATTCAATATACCGGGGGACTATATCTTGTATGAATTTGCTAAATATTCCTGACTATTCCTCTTCCTCCCTCCTGCTGCCAAGTCAGATGTCACAAGTCTTGGCTCTTCACGTGTGTGCATAAGAAATACCAACAGGAACAAATAAACCCTGGAACTTCTAGCTTTTAGGAAAGCATGTTGCATGGGGAGGCAATTTCTCTCTTTCCCGCTTTCTCTCAATCTCTGCTTTAACAGGAGGGCAAAGCTTTCAGTCCAGTACAATATCCTGAGTATCTGACAGTGTTTCTTTCTTAAATTGCCAAAACACATTGTGCAGCATCAAGCATCCAAGATATTTTGTTGTTGTCTAAAAGATAAATAAGATGGAATAAATGGCAGAAATAAAGCAGCTGAGGCACAATTATTTTAGTAAGCTGCTGATCTCAGGCTGAATAAATATGCCACATTTCCTGATAAAAGCCTGAAATTATCCTTATTAAGAAATTCCTTGTAAAATCCATCATTGAATCATGTGTTGAATTTACCTACCAACAGAATACAGAGTCTGTAGAAACTTACTCAGAACCCATTAGTGCAATATGGAAAATCTATGAAGAGGGAAACATACCTGCTGTCTACATACATACTTTGGTCACAATAGAATATATCAAAGGCATCTCCTGGAAAATACTTAAGCAGATAATACTTTGGAAGAGTTTTGCATGGCACGTTAAGCCCGCTGAAAATTTTGCCTGCACATAGCATATGAAATTTTCCAATGCCTGACAGATGACCAGCTGATGGACCGGCCAGATGCAGCAGGGGGCTATGTCTCTCCGCACCCCCGCTTTCCCTCCAGTACTTCTGTAGTATCCCAGGGAGCAGCTGGCAGTTTTTGCTGCCGTCATCTGCTTCCCCACCCAGTGTTCCTAGATTTGGCAGGTACACTGGGCAGGGAACTGGGAGTGGCAGTCTCCTTACACTGGGCTGAAATGCCCAGCTCCAGGTGATCCAGTACTCAATGGAGCAGCAGTAAGGGGTATGGGTGGTCTCCATGCTATTCATGAACACCATGACTAAGTAACTTCACATCAGGTCTTTGAGCCCATGTAAGGAGGCTTTCCCCTCATCTTCCCCAATTCCAAAGTCCAACCCTGTTTTCTCCCTTTCCACACTGAGGCAAGGGAGAATGGGGCTGGAGGCGCCCAGCTGCCCTCCTCATACTCCTCTTGAGCAGTTCTTTCCCACCACTGCCACTACCATTGTAGTTGGAACAGTGGGCAGGATCCAGCCATTTATCCGCACTTCCTTGCAATGGAGCTTGGGAGAGTGGCATGCTGTGGAACCTGGAGCTTCCTCTGGGCTCCTACCAGTAACAGAGGGAGTACAGTTGTTTTCGAGTAATCCTGCTCTGCATCTAGCATTGGCAGAAGCCTAGAAGGAAGTAATGACTCATGCTTTGCCAGCTGTTAACAGCTGGAGTCCCTTGACTGGAGTACTAGTGCTTTTCTGTCACTGGCTGAAGAACTCCTAAATTTTCATCCTGAAAAGTTTATCATGGCTTATTATGACATGCAAACCCTTTGTCTTTTTTTGTACATGGCCCAAGAGTGACTGGACTTCCTAGGTTTGTATGAGGCATGGTGAGAATTGAAACCTGGAGTGGGACGCAGGGTTAGAATGGAGAACCCAGAAAGCCTTCAAGTGAAGGGATCGATAGTATGGGACTTACAGGAGTGGTATCGTAGTTAACTAGGCATCAGGTTAGATCAGATGCATCTGAATGAATGCACCCAACTGAAACATTTGCTCCATTCTTTTTCCAAAAACTGTTGTACATAACAGCTGTATGCTATAGTTTTATGATTCTAGGGTTTTTTTTCTGTTTCCTTGTTTTTATGTCCTTTTAATTTTGTAAGCCATCCAGAGAGCCATTTGGCTATAGGTTGGTATAAAAATGAAATAATAAATACAGACAGTTATTTCACTGTAACAGTGAAGGGAGTCTTCAAGTAATCTCCATTTAAAAATAGTGGAAATGCTAGTGATTTAACGTAATGTATTTATGGGGATCTTGTGGGTGACTGAACAGATTATCATCTGTATACACCAGAAAAGACTTAAAAGATTTTGTGTTTGAATAATGGGCTATGATAGAAAAATGAACCTTAGCCAAGAAACCCAGTATCATCAGAAAGAAAAGGTTTTGGTTGCGCTGGAGTTGACACAGTTACAGAGTTACAAGCAAAAGTAATTGTACTACATACCCTACTGTGAAAAATTGCCTCATCTCCTGCCTTCGAGATCTCATGAGCTGTTTGTATTCTCCAATACGCAGTTTCTTGCCATCAACAATGCAGGTACGTTTTGGTCGAGGCTTATATTTGTAATTGGGGTACTTCTCTAGGTGTATTTTACTTAGCCGTGCTTGCTCTTCGTAGTAAGGTTGTTTTTCTTGATTTGACATAGATTTCCAGCGGGAGCCTGCAAAGGAAAAGGTACCAGTGAACACTCATGTCAGCTTGTCTGAAGAATAATTCCATAAAGCTCTAGGCAGAGGTGTGGGACTGGTGGCCCTCCAGATGTTGCTAGACTAAAAGTCCCATAAAGCCAGTTTGGGCTTATGAGAGTTGGAGTCCAACAAGTCCGGAGACCCACAGGTTCTCCCTTCCTGCTCTAATGAGTCCTCTCAACCATTGTTCACTTTAATACACCATACAAACTAACTAAACTTGCATTAAAAATCTGTAATCCACTATTTCCAGTCACTGTTGTACTTCATATATATATAAAGTTCCTTCCCAATTTTCTGACAACTCAGATACTGAAACAGAACCAATTTTCCATGATTCCTTCTTTACCAACAAACTAATGGAAACTAAATGTCCTACTAAGAGGATATCATAACTATGAATATGGTATCACTAAAAATGATAGAGTTGTAACAGAGAAATGTTAGTAAAACACTTATTCTCTGGGTAGACAAAATGTTCACAACAGTCTGGTTAGAATTGGCCCCCATTCATGTTACAGGTTACCTCTTCTAATAAATCCAGGCTTGTTCTTGCTCTATTCTTTGAATACAAATTCTTTGACTCATAAGAACTGGTTCACACACAACCACCCACATTTTTTAAAAAAAGAATGAACCCCGATTGTCAAGAATGAAGCAATACTGCTTGTTCACTCCCACTTGGTTCCACCTGCCAAGAGCTAGCAGCTGAACAGTCTTGGAATGCTCTGCAGATGACAGGAGCCAAAGTGTCAAGTGCTTCCTGGGAAACTGCATTACATCTTAACTGGGTACCCTGGATCGTCTCCCCTGACAAAAAAGAGTTGTGACCCAAGAAAAGACCCTAAGAAGTGATTGAACCATGTGAAATTGCATGCTGTTACATGACATTACAAAGAGTATTTATTTATTTATTTATTTATTTTCTGATTTATATCCTGCCTTTTTCCTACATCCTCCATCTTCTCCCCCCAACGACAACCCTGTGAGATAGGTTGGGCTGAGAGTCTGTGACTGGCCCAAAGTCACCCAGTTGGCTGCAGATCATCTGAGTCCCAGTCCTATGCTCTTAACCACTACACCACACTGGCTCTCCATGAACAATACTATACACTGCAGTGGGTTCTGAGTCTACATTTCTCAACAGCAGTCCTCAATGTTTAATGGTAACCCCACAGTTTGGAAACTGAGGGAACATTCAAAGACAGCTTGTGCTATGGGGCAGGAGGCTAAACAATAGAAAGAAAACAAATGCACTGGACATGCACAAGCCCTTCAGCACCCCAAAAACGGCTCTTTGAATCTCAGCTACATTGCTAGAAGCTTGTTTGAATGACAGTCACTGCACCAGTTTTTAAAAGGTTTTCCACATTGCTCATGCATGTTTTTCCAGAAAGAATCTAGCTTGTAAATTTATTATCATGAATATCATGACCAGAAACTTAGAAACAACTTGCTTATTCACTACATTATAGTTGCTCCATTCTATGCTGCAATTCAAGCCCAATTGCTTGGGAGCAGCCCCACTTAATTCAATGGGACTTCATTCTGCATAGATAAATACAAGCTTGTGCTGTTAGTGTCTTTAATTTAGATGCCTTTGCTATTGGCTCTCTGACCTTTGCAAATCCCATTACTTGTTATAATCATCCAGCCAGATGCAATACGTACACTGAGCTGCACTTAAAGTTGTATTCAAAATAAAGCAGAAAGTACGTTTGCAATGCTCTTTGCTGTTTTAATTACTATCAACATTCATCACAAACTGCACTAATAAAAGACAAAAAAAAGCACAGTTTACATTGCAAGAAGAAAAGAATTCAGGTCTGTTTCACTGTTTATAAAGAGCTACCTAAACAGTGAAAAGAATTTTTAAAAATGATATAAAAAAGAACTTACAGCTGGTTAAAATGATTACAGCTGTGGTATACGTGGGTGGAAGCTATTCTTTTACCACGAGCCTTTATACATCAACAAATGGAAAAGTTGTATAAATATTATCCAGAGTCAGCAATGCTCTGTTGTCAGTTCTAATATTTCAGACTCTTTTTTTGTCATTGTCCTGGAAAATGTGTACAGATATTATGTGTAAATTGACCTTCCTTCCTTTCTTTCTTTTTCTTTCTTTTTGGTAGTGGGGCAAATCCTGGCAGGTTACATACCCCTTTAAAAATATGATTGCTGGCTCTTCTGAAATATTTATACTGAATGTTTATATTTTAATGAATACTGTTACTATACTTGTAATAGATTTTTCCTTCTTTTTTGTCAAAGAATGCACACAAATAATATAGATTCTATATAGTTGCCAAGAATGGAACAGTGCAGGTTTTATATTTTATACAAAACTGAAAGGCTATTCATATAACTTACTAAAAATGGGAGATAAATATGAGAAGTTCGATTTAAAACATTGCAAGTTTGAATAACAAAGTTACATTTGTTTCTAGAATTCTTTTTAACCTCAGAAAGAAAAATATCAACTAAGAAAACAACCAGCTTTGTTAACACATGTAACAATGTGCAATAAAATAGCTACAGACAAGACATAATCATTACTATTATATATAATGGAAAGTATTTAAAATCTACATTTCGCTTCAGAGACTTGGTGGACAAATATCAATTTAAAATGTTTCCTTATACATTGTCTTGTATGCTTTCAATTCTCCTGTAAGCTCTTCAATTCTAATGCTTTTGAAAAATTAGCAGGTTTATTATTGTGAGATAAAACCTGAACACTTGTCAAATTGTATACGTTACACAGGTTAATTTTTATTTTTCTAAATAAGGATGGGAAACTTGTAGCCTTCCAGATGTTGTTGTTGTTGAAATGCAATTACCATCAGCCTAGCCAGCACAGCCAATAGTATGGAATGATGGGCAATGCCATGCAACATTTGGAGGGGCAGAAGTTGATCATCCCTGTTTTAAAGAACTAAGCAAAACATTTAACTTTTTATTTTCAAGGCCTTTTATCACACTACAATTCAGTGCTGAATACTTAACGATATGTTGATGCTACTAAATCTATCAACTGCATAGTTTGAAAATTCTACTCATTGCTGCAAACACTTGACTTTCATTTAGTCAAATCTTTTCCTGCACAACAAATTACTGGACAATGTTCTTGTGCAGAAAGTTCTCATTTTTATTTTATTATGATTACTAAAAAGTTCTTGCAGTAGGACACAATTGTTATAAACAGTTGTTCCTCAGAGGGAAATGCAAGAGGAATTAAATTCCCATGATTTCAGTCTTTTGGAATTTAGTATCTTCTGTTTACAAATCTCAGACATTATTTCCTCTAGTGACTCATAACGTGCATTCAGATCACAAAACCTTCACTACTTTTGTTTCTGCAATTATTTATAGCTCCATACTTACCAAGAATTTTACTAATATTGGAGTTGTGCATGTCAGGAAATGCTTGAAGAATTTTTCTGCGTTCATCTTTTGCCCAAACCATAAAAGCGTTCATTGGTCGTTTGATATGTGGCTCACTGCTACTTCGGCCCCTGGCATCCCTGTAGACTCGTGCTTCAGCCACAGTGGCGCCTCCTGTTGGCCAACAATAATACTGCTGTAGTTTAGCTGCAGAGCCATTCATTGCTTTACTTCCTGTAATATTAGGGCAGGAAGAAACAAGATGGATGCGAACATTATTAAATTATCTGTGTTCTGGTACAATTATTGAAGTCTTGTTCGCTTTCTAGTTCCAAATCTATGAAGCAATTTTAAATTGTTATTTGAGTGTAGTAGCTGGAGGAGCTAATAGATCAAGGAGCTAAAGAGCTTGGGATCATGATAGTAAGTTTCTGTATTCAAATATGAAGCCAATAGTTTTGTGCCCTAAGAATAAAGGTCAACAGGAAGAAAAGTAATTGAAAACTTATCAGTTAAAAGTTAATTCACGCTCTGAGTATGTTTTGAATAGCACTATAAACATGCAAAATGTTTGCAGTACAAAATAAAACTTAAATCTGCATGTTATAACAATGCCTTACTAGCTGTAAGTCTTCAGTACTGAAGCTCTTAGCCTTCAGTATGTAGTTTGTCCAAATAAGTTATTATCCAAATGATTTGAATGTCACTCATGTAGTGATAGAGAACAGAAGTTTATTCTAGGTGGTCAGATTTCTTATTTCATTGAAAAATTTCTTGAGGTATTTCCATTCACAAGAATTAAGATTAATATGAATGTTTCCAACTGCCAATCAATTACTTAATATTTCATTCTTTACTTCTGTACTCCATTACTACTGCCATTGCTCCCAGTTCAAATGGTCACACATCCAGATGGAGCTTGAGACACTTTAAATCAAGGTTACCCCATCAAATGCAGCCAAATTATTCATGCAGACTAATAAGCACGAGAGATGCATGTAGTATTGGGAGCTATACCATGCAACTAAGCTCTGCCCCCTCACTGAAATATTTGCAAAACATTTGCAAAAAATACATATTATTGAAGTATTCTTCAAATACTAAGCTACATTTGCACATAAAAAGTGCCGTGAGTAATTTTAAATTAAATGGGCAAGAAAACAAGGAAGTTGCATCCCTCACATGCAGCCATGGTGACAGGACTGAAAAGAAAGTGAAATGAATTTCAGGTCTCTCCCTGTGTTTCAAAAACATATGTGACAAATCCTCAGTGGTTTTGAGATGGCACAGCTTGATGAAGCCTACACCAATGCAAATCAGTAAAGCTCTGTTGACTTCACAGTGGAAGAATGATTTACACCAGCTCAGGATCTGAGTCTGTATTTTAAATTATGTAGATTCTAACTCTGCCAAATTGCCGTAAAAAAGCAAAAAAAAAAAAAAGGTCTACATCTATACTTTAAGGTACACAACAATTATTTTTGTTGTTGTTTTGTGAAATTTATTTTTATGGATAAAATCTTAGGATAGAGGATGCATGACTAATAGGCTACCTTTTTTGCCACTGTGCCCACAGTACATTAATTTCATTTAAAATGCACTGACCATACAGAATAAATTGATTTCACTTTATATGCTGTTGACAGCCATGTTTATTGTGCAGTGAAATGTAGTGTAGCTTCAAGCTGACAATATCCATCAACACAGGGCAATACTCTGACTGCTGGGCCAGATGAAGACATACATTACCCTGGAAGCAAAACACTTATTTAGATGTGACACTGTCTTCTCCTGAGGATCACCAGGATAATTTATTAAGCCCTCAATATCATTACTTTAAAACTGACACCAGTTCCACAATTGCATGCAGATAAAAGACAACAGGTCTGCTGTGAATGTCAGATGCAGAAGTAGTTTAATAGTAGCCTAAGTTTAACTGCCATGCCATAACTGTGAAGCATTTAGTAACTGGGACTGCTCCTGTAGCCTTTCCATCACAACAACAAGTAGATTGTAATGTACTCGGTATCTAATCCAAAACCAATAGAGTCAAAGTGAAGCCTTTTTACAGAAGTTCAGTAGGTTAGACTGAGCTCTACACGTACAAATATTTCCATAATCATAGCAATTTTAATGGGGTTATCAACTTGCTATGCTTGTTGATATTTAATGGGGTTATTGACTTGCTTCCAAAATATACAGTGAGAATGGATGATCTCAGGTACACAAAGCTGATACACCAGGGGCCTTTCACTTTTGGATCTATGTTTTCTTGATAGCAAAGATTTAAGCAGCGTCTTCACTATGAAGCATATGAGGATTTCTAAGGGCTTCAACAAACACGTAGGAGACATGTAGGAGCTGATTAATTGACAAAGCATTCCCTCATCACATCATTTGGCCCAGTCTATAATCACTTAACCAGTCTTTGGGCACAGTAATTCCATAAGTGGTTTTTATTTTTGCTTTTTTAAAAAGAAGAATTTATTGTACACCATGCTAAAAGTTTTTACTAAAGGGCAGCCTATACTTTTTCTAAATTACAATAATATTACTATTATCACAAAGAGGAAAATAGAAATGCTCTTTCAGGATGCTCTTTTTATACACTACCACCACCATGTCATTTTTTTCTCTGATTCAAGTGCTCTTGGTAGTTGTGTTATAAACCCCCTACTCCTGACAGAAGAGCATGGACAGACATTCTACTTAGACTAATATCATTTACTATATTTATTTAAAACATTAGATGGACTTTCATTATATTTAGAATGAAAGGGTGCTGTACAATCCATTATATCACAACAAAAATACAGTAATAAAAAAACAAGGTCACAAAGCAGTTTTGGATTGAAGCAACGTATAGACTCCTATGCATTGTATGTATTTACTTACTTACCTACCAAGGGTTGCATCCAGCTTCTTTTCTACCCACAGAAGCATTCCTTGAGCAGATTTCTGCTCAGAACTGGCAGAAAGCGCAGAACGACAAACTGCCAATTCCTTCATACTTTTCCAGTCTCCAGCCCTGCCACTCCCAACCCTCTAGGGTAGATTTGGAGGAGACATAAGGCCAAATCTAACAGGACACTTATGCTTGTTATGCCCCACTAGTCCCATTGAGCATTTCTTGCATGAAAAATCATCAGTTGGTGGAGCTTACTTAAGGAAGATATGTTGACCTGCCTCCTTGCATAAAGCTCATTTAAAACCTTTTGTTAGATCTAGATCTCCTTGTGTAAGTGGTGGGTCCTACTTGAACAATGTAATTGGCAGGATTGACACAGCATAAAGCAATCAGTGGGAGTTTCTGTTCCCAAGGAACTCCGGGAGGATGGGGAGAATGAACCATGACCACTGGTTCTTCAGGTTATGAATAGCATTCCATTGCTAGATCAGGAACTTCTCACAGATGGAAGGAGTACATCAGTTCAAAAGTAGAAGACATAAGATCAATCCCATAACTTATGGAGCTGCTCCATAACACAAGGTCTATGGCTTACTGACAAAACAAATACAACCCAACCAAAACAGAGATTTATTGGCAATACTAAGAACCTTGACTCTTTGGGAAGGTGTTTAGTTAAACATTTTCTAACTCTTGAGTGTATTCTTTCCAGGCTTTATTATTAACTGCTGTTTTTAGTTAATATTATTGTTGTTGCAAATTTATTTGACGAGGGGGTATGGCTGTTTTAAAAAGTACTGATTTCCTTTGTTTGCTGCCTTACATTCCCCTTCAGAGAAATAGGAAGGATAACAGCTTTTTGAAATAAAGAAATAATCACACAGATGTGACAAAGAAAATGGAATAAATGGTTTACACAACAGTTAGATTTCAACAGCCTTTATTTGGACTAGAAAGGAATTCTTCTCAGATAGGCTGAATCAGCATACCAGCCACCCCAAAAGCTTCTGAAAGGAGAAATGCTTATTTGGGTTCTTTAAAAGTGTCTACTGAGGCAAAACATGTATTGAAGCAATGTAGTGTGTGATCGAGGAAATGGCAACCCACTCCAGTATCCTTGCCATGAAAACCCATGGACGGTACCAAAAGGCAAAAAGATATGACACCGGAGGATGAGCCCCTCAGGTTGGAAGATGTCCAATATGCTACTGGGGAAGAGCAGAGGGCTAATACTACTAGTGCCAGAACGGACTCCCTGGAGAAGAGCCTAACGCTGGGAACAACAGATGGCAAAAGAGGAAGGGGACGGCAGAGGATGAGGTGGCTAGATGGAGTCACTGAAGCAGTGGGCGTGAGCTTAAGTGGACTCCAGGGGATGGTGGAGGACAGGAAGGCCCAGAGGAATGTTGTCCATGGGGTCGCGATAGGTCAGACACGACTTTGCGACTAACAACAACAATAACAAAGTGTGTGATCAGGTGTTTACAATCATCTTGTTCTAATATTGAAAACTTAATACAAATGAGTGACCAACATAAATTTCTTCACTCTGTTGTAAGCAAAGCAACAGGAATATTTGTAGAACATAAACTTGGAGGTATTACAACCTCAGGGACACTTATTAAAGTAAGAGGAGATGACTCCCACCCCCACCCTGCCCCAGGCATTTATTTTATTTCAGTGTTCTTTTGTTAAGGAACAATTCTTAATTAGAGTCATAAATTACAAACAGACCAAGAAAGTCATGAGACTTCTATCTCCATCTGCCTTGAGCAAGCCTACACATGAAGAATTTGGAAATGAAGGCAGTAAACCTTGAACTTCCATACTTGATCTCTGAGTGAATATTTGTGCCTCGGCCCAAGGGCTGCCAAAAAAGAATGTGTGTTAAATGAGCTTTTCTGCAAATAATTAACAGTCACGTAATGTTCCTGTGCTCTTAACCATCTTACCACTTCAGGAGGACATTCAAAATACTGTTAATTATAAATGATGCTTCTGTTTATAACATTTATTTTACTGGAGATCAAAAGGATTATTTCACTATAGTGACTTTGGGGGAGAAAAATCACAGATTCTCAATGCACCCTTCTTGCAAGCTGAATCCTATAGTAGGAGATTTTTTGAACTACAAGTCATTGCTAAAATATTGTAACATTAGTGAAATTGTAGGTCTGTTTTTTGTTGGCTTGTTTGTTTCTGTTTTTAATCTGCTGTTATTGACAGGCTCCTTGGCAAAAGGCAGACAATTCACTTAACCCCAGTATTTAGCATGTCACAGTACTTCCACTTGAAGAATTTCAGCATGGTCCAGTGTAAGTTAGAG